TTTATCTTTAATTTACAAGTTTAAGCTTATAAACTTTTCTCTAGACATTTTTTGATGTGTTCTAACAGTTTTGATACATAATACTTGCTCTATTATTTTAAAAATATTTAAGGGTCTGATGTGACAGTGCACACATGTAATCCCTGCTAGCTGGGATGGAGGTAGGAGGAATGAGGTCCAAGGGCGGCCCAGACAAAAGCTGGAGACCTTATCTGAGAGGCTAACTCAAAGCAAAAGTACCTGGGTTTGGCTCAAGTGGTAGAGAGCTTGGAGAGGCCTGAGTTCAAACCCCAGTACTGACAAAAAAAAAAAAAATTTAGTACTACTGTGATTTCCTTGTTAATGCAGAAGTTATTCAGGAATATGTCTCCAAACATGGGTTTTGTTATTTTATTTTAACTGTACAATGGCAAGCAAACAAAATCTGGATGATGTCGTCTTTGAAATGTATTAGCAATGCCTTTGTGATTTAATACATAGTAATTTTTAAAATAAAATTTCTGGCTCTGTGCTGGTGTCTCAAGCCTTTAATTTTAGCTACCCAGGAGGCAGAGACCAGGAGAAGTGTGGTGTGGACCAAGCGTGGGCAAATAGTTTGTGAGATGCTATCTCGAAAAAATCCATCACAAAAATAATGTTGGTGGAGGTCTCAAGTCCTGCCTAACAAGCATGAGGCCCTGACCCCAGTATCGCAAAAAAAAAAAAAAGAAAAGTTCTGCATATCTGTAAAAAGGGGAGCTTTTCTCTTATTTGTTGAAAGAGATATAAGCACTAAAGGGGTGTATAAAGTATTGTTCCATGATTGTGGATTAGTCAATTTTGCTTGGCAATTCTTCACATTTTGCTTTGCATGTATTTTTAGGTTATACTATTAGATACACAAAATTTGATAATACTTTATCTTCCTGATGGACAATCCCATTTCTTACTAATAGCTGTGCCTGACGTTACTCTTATAGTAGCCTTGACTGCAATCGTCAAGCTCATCTTTTTCTTTCTCCCCTTTTTAGACTTTCTGTATTAGTTTTGTTTTAGGTATGTTCTTACAAGCACTCCACAGTGCAATCATACAAGCTAATCAACCAATAAGCTTGACAGGATAATCTGTCATTGAACTTATTTGAGTGTTTAATTAATAGCTTTTCTATTTGAGGGAAAGTTCTCATTTTCCTCCTTTCTTGTCTATTTTGTATTAAAACTTTTAAAATAAGTTTCTTTTCCTTAACTAGATATGCAGGATTCTTAATCCTATTTTCGTCCAATAGTTAACTTCAGGTATTTTAATTCAAGTACTAAAACACTTTTATTTTTTAACAAAGGCTAAATAAGTAAGAGTATTTGGTATTAGCAGTCTCCTTCTAAATTCTCAATTGGGTAGAACCAATTTATAATTTTACCTTCATTAACCTCTAACTGAAACTTATTTTATAATATAATAGGTTTTTTTTTTTGGTGGGACTGGGGTTTGAACTCAGGGCTTTGCACTTGAAAAGCAGGCACCCTACTGCGTGAGCCACACCTCCAGTCCTATTTTATAATATTAAAAAGTAAGCCATGGTAGCATTTATAGTGCCGACCATTCCATTACTACTAGAAATCAGATTATTTTCATATTATTTTTCAGTTTTTACAGATAACTAAAAAATACAAAGTAACTCAAGTTATTTTGACATTATAGTAGTTATCAGAATTGTCATTTGTTCTTGTCAATGTGTTTAAACATATAATAAATATTTTTAAATATTTGATAGCTGTATTTTAACATAATTGTACTTTGTAGCGCTTTATTTTATGAATTGATAAACATCTGGGATATAATTCATAGGTTTTACTAGACAATGAAGCATCCACAGCATAAAAATGGTTAAGAAAGAACCCTTTCAACAACATAAACCTTACACTGTCTTGAGTAAATTTGTTTTCCTGTTTTTTTTGGCTTTTGGAGACAGGGTGTTGCTTTGTAGCCCCAGCTGGCCTTAAACACATGATCCTTCTGCCTCAGCCTCCAGAGTGCTGGATCACAGGTGTGTTGTATCACCATACCTGGATTCCAGGTGGATTTTGTTGGCCGTTTTTCTTAGCATTAAAATTTTCTCATTCAATATGGAATGTTGAGTTGTGGGCTTATTTTGTAGAAGGTTTGTGGTTCTTTCTCTCTCTCTTTTTTAAACCTCTCTCTCTGTGTTCCCTGACCTGGGTCTCCATTCCAGAATCAGTCTTTACTGGTGGTTCTTGGGTATTTTAGTTCCCCCGTGGAGTCATTCGTATTTGTTAGGGTTCAGGCAGTGGTTAGTGGAAGTTTTTTCATTCTGTTTTCTTGAGAACACAGTCCTTGGCTTCAAGCAGGATGCTAGGACTCAATCCTTTATCTCCTAAGGGTTTCTGGGGAGAGGAATAAAGTACAATGGCCTTCATGTCACCATCTTCAGCCAGCTTTATACAGAGTGCTCTCAGTATTATGTTTATACTCTGTATTTTTGTTTCCCTCTTTAATCCAGAGTTTTTAAAAACATGTCTGTAATTCCATTTTAGTAAGGCTTTTAATTTTATTTTACATTCAGGAACGAATGCTGATTTTCTTTTTCTCAAAATGCTTAAAGCAACTTATCCTAGATACTTTTTTTTGAATTGTTAATAAGGTAAATCAATGTAAAATTTCCTAACTAGAACTCACCTGCATGTATGAATGAGCAGCATTTGATTATGGCATAAGATTTTTTTGAATAATTTAAGATCTCTCATCAATAACCACATGTGAAATATGTCTGTCTTTATGTATACGTATGTGTCATTTTTGATGAGCTTATTTCTAAAATCACCCTTTTATCTGTGAAAATCCGAATTCATTACTCCTTTCAGAATTTAGATGTAGGGTTCACCTTCAATCTTGTTCTGTAATTCAGTATTAATCTTGATTTTTTTTTTTTTTTTTTTTTTTTACTGTATCTTACTTTTGAAATCTCAGGGTTCCTACACACAATCAAAACCAGATGGCAGTCTCCATGTAATTACATGCTGGCAAGAATTTCCAAGTTTTACATAACTGACCTGGTAAAGCTGCAAGTTTAATTTTTAGGTTGAAAGATAAAACTCCTTATAAATTCTGGTAGTTTTATGTTAAAAATTCAATATTTGGTAAAAATTGTTGTTTTGTAAGCATGTTTATATTTACACTTAAATATATTACAAGTAAAAGAAAACAGGTCTACTGATCAGATTCCAACACTGATACTGCTGCAGAAAGATGAACGATGGTGCATCCTACTGATCCACCGGGCAGTAATCACACTTCTCAGAACAGCAGCTCCAGGGTTCCAGGAGAAGTAGCCTGGAACAGAGTACAAACGAATCTATGGCCCTGTTTACAGCTTCCACAGAAAAGGGGGATGGAAGGCAGTATGTTTCTCAAGAGACAAGCTCTCTTATTAAAGAAACTAAGAAGGGAAAACACAAAGAGATGAGAAGGTAAGCTAAGTTCACAAACCTTCTATATTTTCAATTTTCTTCATGGTACTGGAGTTTTAACTCAGTCTTGAGCTTGCTAGGCAAAGGCTCTACACCATTTGAGCTGCACATCTGCAGCCCTTTTTGCTTTATTTTTCAGATAGGGTCTTATACTTTTGCCCAGGGCTAGCCTTGGATTGCAATTCTATTACCTCCGCCTCCTGTCTAGCTGGGATTAAAAAACTGTACCATCATACCCAGATTATTTTTTGAGATAGGGTCCCAGCAACTTTTTTAAGCAGGCTGGTCTGGAATAATGATCCTCTCTCATTTCCACTTCCCACATAGCTGGGATGACAGACATGTCACCACACCCAGATTACAATCTTATTTTTAAAAATGTAGAATAGAGAGCTGCAAAGTCCTTTCTAAACCTGAAATTCCATGATTTTACCTACAAAAATGAAACACATGGAAGGGTGGCAAAGGTGTCTTTATGCTATAGCAGAACTATGTTTTCACAGTTTTTCTCTACAAGTAATTAATATTTTCTTTTTTGTCATACTAGGGATTGAACCTACGGTCAAGCACTATAAGCACTTACTATAAGCACTCTTACCACTTGACCTATGTCCTCAGCCCTTTTGTTTTTTGTTTTTTTTTTTAACTTTGTTTTTTAGATAGGATCTCACTAACTTTGTAAGGGGCTGGACTCAAACTCATCATCCTCCTACTTCTGCTTTCCAATCAGCTGGTATTACAGGTGTGGGCCAATATGCCTGGCTAAAGTTAATCTTAACCTTTCTCATCATATTGTATGTACTGTTAGAATCTTAAATTAATAATTATCTCCCCTACCCCACCTTTCACTTTGCTTTCTTTTTCTTGTGCTGGGGATTGAACCCAGGATCTCTGACATGTTAGGCAGGTACTTTACTTTGTATTCTTAACAAGTGTTCTTGTTTCAAAGTTATAAAAAACAAGAAAGGTTTTTCAAGATGAAGTATTTATTATTGGCTTATTTAAAGCTTTATATGTACAAACACATGCTCATCTACAATCATGCTTTAGCTTCCCTTTGTGAGGATTCAACTACTGCATCATGGTTATAGGCCTGATTCAAGTGGATTAGCGAGTTTTGTTTGTCCCACTGTAAAAGACTGCTCTTGATCCTAATGAGCTATTTACCAAATGCATATCTTTTGTTAAAAAGTAGCTTAGAAGAGCTGGGAGTGATGATACATGCCTGTAATCCCAGCACTTGGGAGGCTGAAACAGGAAGACTGGTCTACATAGTGACAGCCTGTCTCAAAACAACAACAACAAAGAAAAGTAGCTTAGACGAATACAGATGGCTCACTGTAAGTACGTTACAATCACTAGAAAGTATTCAAAATGCATGCTGAGTGGGCTATTATTCATAGTTACTCTTAAAATAATACATAGCTATAGCTTATTATAAAATATCTTCTGAAAATCTTTGCTACTGCATATTTATAATGATACTTGGAAGCTGAATTTATATATCGTGACAAAATGAAAAGTACCAGATTTACCTTATAGTAATGATTTCCCCAGGGTTTGCCCTTATGAGCCAGCTGCAGTTGATTTTGGCAGGATACTCAGAGGGCCAGCCTGGACTTGTGATTATTCCACTGGGGGCCCGGATTTGTTCTGGAGTCTCTCCACAAGCTGTAAGGTACAAAAAGTGATCTTCGCTACTATTAGACTTTAAAACACAGCATTAAGTAAATCAGCATTTATTTAAAAAAAATTTTAAGACATCAAATCATATATAGCAAGATGTAGTTTACCAACCTTAGAAAACTTCTATTATTACAATGTGATATTGTAATATTTCTTCCCTTTTAGACAAAGAAACTTATCTTAAGTTATTTTTTGAGTAGGCAAGGAACTTTTCAAATTGGATCACTCAAAAGTCAGGACTGCTGGATTTATCCATGGAGACTGATGGATCCTGTCATCTATCTTTTTTCAAACTCATCTTTTAGATTTATTCTCTTTACTACTTAGATCTTTAGGATCGTTATGTTGCTTTTAGAGCACTTTAAATAAACATAATAAGATAATGGACTGCAATTTTTTATTAGGTAGCTAGAGGATGATTGGATAAAGACAGCAAAACACTAATCACTACTACAAAGTAGTTCTTCCATTTATTTCATTAATACTTTACACTTTATCATGGGGTTTTAAATGGTTCCTAAACTACTGAAAACAAAATCTTGAAACAGTGCTTAAAATATCACTATATGATTAGACATCTGAATACCACAAAAGAAAATCTTCATGATTCTAGAATACACTGAAACAAAATCAACTCTTTTTTATATCATTCTCCTTACAGCATCTTGAATTATCATTGAAACAGTTAACATTTTACCTACCCAGAATTCAGATGATAATCTGACCATTTATTCTCTCCAGTTAAAAATAAAGTCACTTGGCTATAAATAAATGAATAAATAAATAAATAAATAAATAGATAAATAATGGTAAGGCTTCAGTAGAATTAAAAATCCTACAAACCCTTATTTAATGTGACTTCAAATTAGAAGTGGGAAGAGTAGCTGCTCAGGGTACATAAATAGTTGTCAGGAGAGGCTAGGTAAATTTCAGGAAAATAATAAAAAGTACATACTGAACTCAAAACCATGATCAATCAAACTATACATAATACTGCTTCTCTTCAAAATGGTCAGAAGACTGTTCCATGATTATAATTAGTAAATTAGCTAATATTCATACCTATTTAAGTTGGTGAGTAGGTGAATCAAAGTAAGCAAAGTACCTGGCAGGACACATGGCCTGAACTCTCATCTTACAAACAACGTTCATTCAATTTAGGCTAAGAACACTAAGAAATATATTATGTAATTTGAAAAACTTTATGCATAATGATTGCAATAAAGCAAGCTACACTGCTTAAAGTCAAGCCTTATTTCTACAGAGTAACTCATTCTCTGAAGAAACATGCAATCAAGGTTTTAAAAGTATATTATACTGCAGAAAAAATGTTCATGTCTAAAAAGGGTGTGGCCAGGAATGAGGATCTCGATTTTAATCCTTGCAGAACATGGAGATGGATGGCACAGAACACACAAGCACACTTCATCACAGCTTAGCATTCATTTCATGGCCCAGGCATAGTTCAGACTTCTTTGTTGTTGTAGTTTGCTTTTACTGTTATTGTGTAAAATTCATTAAGAGTAAATTGCCCTTCTAAGAAAAATTTTATCTTTAATGAATGACATTTAAAAAAAACAACTGAATTTTCCCTAATGAAATTCTAGTTTAAGAGCATATTAATAATAATGTACCAGTTTGGCTTCCACTTCGCTCTGAGTAATCATAACAATAATTCACTAAAAAGATACCCTAGAAATCTGCTTTTTCATTATCTCTTATCAAAGCATCTGGACTAATGCACTAATGGAATTCCTAAGTTCATTAAAAAGTAAACATACAAATAAGCAGGTGAAAGTAATTATAATATGGAAAATTATTCCCCAAATATAGAATATTGTTCATTTTCATTAAGAGGTTCATCTACATTAAAGGAAATAAATAATATGATTTAAGTTAGATTATATTTAACTTATAACACCACACCAGCATATAAGTATTCAAATACTCATTAGCTGATTTAACAGCAATGATATACAACAAAAAACTAGATGAGAGCATTTGTGACAAAACAGAAAATTGACAACCTTTAAATAAATGATAGACTAATTACAGGATAAAACTAGAAAGAATTTATTAGGTTTGTGATTATTAGATTTTAAGAAAATATTTCCAAATACATGAGAAACCCATAGGTGGTGCTCTCATACCAAAAATTAAAGTTAATTCCTTGTATGATGATCAAAAATACACATTATAAATATTTTCGATGCAGCTGTACAAGAATAAGATAAGCCACTATAAATAAGAATGGTTACTTTAAGGGTTGGAGGCATGGCTCAAGAGGTAGAGTGCTCACGAGCAATCATATGGCCCTGAGTTCAAACCCCAGTACTGAGCATACACAAAAAAGGGTTATTTTAAGATTCACTACTTTCCATTTCTAATTCCATTTGTATTTCTATTAACATTTTAAAATATGAATAATTCTCCCAAATACAAAATAAAACCTTAGTATCAAAGTTTCTCCTTGAATTCATTATAAATGCATACATTGACTTCACTTTGTACATTTGCAACATGACTGAATTTGGCATTTTGCTCCTGTGGCTTTAAAAAATGTATTCTTTAACTGATACATAAAAGTATTAAAAATTACATATATGACTAGGATACTACATAATGTTTTGATATTTGCATAATGCATAAATGCTTAAATCAGGGTAAAGGTATCTATCTCCTTAACAATCTATTAGTTCTTTATGGTGATCCAGTGGGTTTGTAATCAATACATTTTCCCAAGTACAATACACTGAGTATGTAGACAAATACACTCCAGCATACCATGACTTATTTTCTTTTATATCTAAGAAATAACTAGTTCAATTGCCAAAAAAGCCATTAAATTTTTTCCCATTGCTTTGGGTTGAGACTTTACCTGTATGGACCAGTACATGTGGAATCAGAAGACTTACAAGCTGTTTGTCTTACCTGCCACTTGATAGTTTTGCCATAGTATAAACTACTTAAATTTATTGGGTCTTAGTTTCTTCACATGTTAAAATAAGGAGTTGCTATTTGAATATCTTCAAGGTCTATTTCAACCCTCATATACCTCTTCTTCCTTTCAACATCATGATGTATTTCCACTAGATTTCCAAAAGCTCGTCAGGATGCACCAGTATATTTTTCATTTTTTGGCTTTGCATTTTCTCTATGACCCACTAAAATCAGCCTTCCAATTTTTTCCTTATCTCCATAGAAACCATACTAGCAGGCAAAGGCCATCACTCATCTCACTGCCAAATCCAACAGGCCTTCAGTTCTCAAGGTACTCGATCTTTCTAGAGCACCTGACACTGACTTTCTTTTCTTCTTGATACTGTTTACTACCTTAACATTGCTGAGAATATCTCTTCTGATTCTTCTATCTGACTGTTTCTATGCCAGCTTTTCTAGTACTGGGCCCACCTTCCTCAGCTACCACTATGATGGTAATATAGTAGTGTTTGCTCTCAAGCCTTTTCATTCACTCTCAATTTAAGACTTCATCCATTCTTACAATTTCAACTATAAACTATAGGTCATTTGCTTTAAGGCTCTAATCTGGAGACTTTTTATAGTTAAATACCACTGGACATTTTAACCTCAAATTCAGCATGATCAGAACTGTGTTTCCCAAATTCTTCTTTATATTCTGAATCTTCATAAACTTAGGCATCATTTGGCTGAATTAAGTAAAAAGGAAGCTTACTTTAAGAATACAGGCAACCTCAAGATTTTCAAGGGCAGGAAACAGAATAAAGCAAAACCTCACAACTAAAACTTGAAATTTCAGTCAGAAGCAGAGGTTGCTTTCATTACCTCTTAGAGAATCCAACGCCTGTTTTACGCCTACCTGCCTTAATCTTCCAATTGGTTTCCTCTGAATCCTCCATTTTTTTTCATTATTTTAGTGATTTATAAATGACCTCCCAGTCCCAACTCATTGTAACACTTCAGCATCAATAACTAAACTCAACTGTAATTGCATTCTTTTCTTAAATTTATTATATTTATATGACTATCATTCATTTTATGTATTTAAAAGAGTTTCAAGCAATTAAGTCTCCATTTTCTTACTTGTAAACAGGGATTAAAACTATGAACACCAAGAGCAAAGGGTGCTTAAGGATTAAATACAATTATTTTGGTAAAGCGTTTACCAAACTGCTTCAATTATAATAAACCATCCATAAATAACATCAGATTGGTGGACAGTAACGCTGGGAGTGCTGTGTGAGATGCTTACTAAGGCTCCATTTGGGCTCAGTGGGAAAGAAGGCAGAAATTGTTTAGTATTTGCTAGGCACCATTATGCTCTAGAAAGCATAAGAAATTATGCTATATTTATGCTATGATTGATTCACTATCTGACAGGGTTAGAAGCTGGGCAAAGGATGGGGTTAGTGTTCATACTCATAAAACTTTACTTTTATAAACTCTCTTTGCTTTACATCAAAATGTTTATATATTTTTGCTGGCTTGAATCTCTCATTTTTCTAGATTTTGAAGAGATTGCAATTTATGGCATATCAAACCTGACCTCCTTTTACTTACATACCTTCTATCCATGGCTTCTCTACTGCTTATTCATATTATTTTAGCTACAGTCTAGTGAATTCTTCAACAAGAATTAGTTTATGTGCAATTGACAAATGGAGAAATTTGTCAGTATAATGCAAAGTTGTATAAGTTTTTATTCTCAGCATGCTAATGATTTAAAATAACCAGAGGCAGGAGTTTTCACAGTGAAAAGGAAGTATAAAAACCTGTATAGAAGTGCTCTGTATTACTGCAAGTAGTTGTTAACTTTAATGGTTTGAAGAACTATTTGGCTTTCTTCTATATTATGTTATCTTAGAATGTTACAAATGTAGATGGAGATGTGAACACATCACTCCACATGAAAGCAAAGCACCTTAACGATGAAGGACATACCTGCATTGTATTTTTGGCTTCAATTATACTGGTCTCTGTTAGAAGCAAATGTCTTTAAGTGGCAA